CCTTCTCATAGGCGACCACTTCGGCTTTGACGGCTGGCTGGTCAACCTCGAGGCGGCGGTGCCCGGCGGGGTGCACGCCGCGCGCACGCAACTCGCTTCGCGCCCCTCGCGCCCCTCACCCCTCTCGCGGCTCGCAGGCGGCGGGGATGGGAGCGGTGCACGAGCTGCTCGAGCTGCTCACGGTCTGCCTCAAGCAGCGGGTCGGCGAGCAGGCCCACTTGCGAATGCACGGCTCCCTCGACCTCGAGCCGTCGGGGAGCCTTCCAGGAACCTTCTCATAGGCCCTCGTCCTCGTGTACGATTCCCTCGACCGCACCGGGCGCGTGCGCTACCAGAACAGCCTCGCCCCAGACAACAAGGCCGCCTTCGACGCGTGCGATGGCCTCTTCACCAACTACTGGTGGGGCGCGAAGCAGCTGGCGCAGTCTGTGGCCCTCGCCGGCGCGCGACGGTGCGACGTGTATGTTGGCGTCGATTGCTTCGCGCGCAACACTCCATATGCCGCCGGACCGGCTTGCGCGCCTGCGTGCGCCGCGGCTCGTGCCGCCGGCCTCTCGCTTGCTCTCTTTGCCCCTGGCTGGTCCATCGAGTGCGGCGGGGCGCAGTGCGCGTCGGAGGACGCGGACGCGGCGGCGGCGGCGGACCGCCGGTTCTGGGAGGCGCTGGGGTTGAAGCGACTATACCGCGATTGAGGGGGGAGTGTGGGGGAGATAGATATGATGAAAAAAAAACCTCGGACGTTTCACGAACTCCTTGGCGACGTGCGCGTCGCGTCGCCAAGGCTCTGCGACCTCGGTCGTACAATCGGCGACCTCGGTCGCACAACCGGCCGGATGCGCGGGTTTTCAGCCAGGTTCCCGCGCACCGGCCACAAACTCGACTCGCACAGCAAAAAAATCCGGTGCTCGCGCGCTGCTCCCACGCTTGACCACACACTCGCTGCACTGCTCAAAGCCAACCCTACCTCACTGGCCGCCTCCAACACTGTCCCGCGCGTCTCGCGCCCCAACTGACAACTCATCTCCCGCGCACCGGCCACGAACTCGACTCGCACAGCAAAAAAATCCGGTGCTCGGGCGCCGCTCCCACGCTTGACAACACACTCGCTGCACCGCTCAAAGCCAACCCTACCTCACTGGCCGCCTCCGACACTGTCCCGCGCGTCTCGCGCCCCAACTGACAACTCATCATTGTCCCTCGGACACCACTCTCCAGCCGCGCTACCTTCGCCCACCTACCGCTCTCGCATGACATCTCAACAATCCTCATATCTCCAGGCCCAAGACTCCTAACCACTGCCCCTGCTCGCCCAGGACCACGAAGCGCCGCCCGCGCGCCCATTGACCCCCCAATCAGCCCTCTTGCTGTCCCTCAATCCCCACCCGCCAGATGTACTGCCCTCGCCCACCCAATACTCTCACCCTCCTGACCCGGACAGTCCAGGTACAGGAAAAGCGGGGAGCGGGGCCCGATCCAAGGAGCACCCCGTCGGCCCGGGAGGGCTGTGAATTTCGGCGCGAGCGGAAGGCTGCCTGCAGACGCTCAGCCCCCGGCTGAGCTGCCGAATCCTCCCGGCTAATCCCCTGAGCCTGCCGCCTGAAACGGGACGACATTACACCACCTCACACA